CCTACATCTCAGAACATGCCCAAGAGGAAAGTCAGACAGATCTCCAGCTAAGGGTAAAGAGAGAACCTGTCTTCATCCCAGCATCTGCTCACAATGAACTTTGCAGTATGTTGCAGTATGTCATATCCTCTTTCATGCTAAGCTTCAAGGCCAGAGACATAATTCTGACAGTGTTATGAGATTTAAAAAAAGCAATAAACATATGCCCAGGTGTCAAATAACCGACAGTTTATAGTTAAAGAGAATAAATGTAGACACAAAAGTCCTTGTCTCTCTAAGGGTCATACTGGATAATTCATGCTATCCTTAAATACTGATAATACTGATTCACTTACCGATTTCACTGTTAGAATGTTACCAAAGTTGCCAACCTTCAGTTATCTTGCATTCACCATCAGTACAGTGAAGGAAGGAGAATCTATTCTCGAGGGTGAGAGCAAAATGTTTATATCCCATTGTAAATGGAAAAATTTGAAATGCCAAATAAATGAAATAAAAGCAGGACAACTACTGTCCCACAAAGCCACCTATATTAAGGACAGCGTCATGACAGTAGCAAAATTTATTTATTTGGGTGTGTGTGTTTTTTTTTAACACAACTTTACTCCTTTCTAAGAAAGATATTTCTAAGATTTTTTTGGTTAGTTTTATCCTCATTACAAAAGTAAAATGTACAAGAAAAGGGAATTTTACTCTGTACGAATGTAATGCCAGCAAGGCGTTTAGTAAACGGGTGCACTGCTCTCCACGCTGTTCTCGGCATCGCGGGGGTGCCTGCCTCTGACAGCCACCTGCTTACCTGCCAGAGAACTCTCCTGGGTAAACCCCGGGCAGTATTTCCTACGACAAGGAAAGCTGAAAGTATCTGCAGTGGAATGAAGCAGTATTTCAATCGGCCGCACAAAGTAATTCCTAAGGGTTGATGGATGAGAGGTCAGAAATGTCAAGTGTTCCAAAAATTAAATAGCTCACTCGTAAATCACTCAACCCAGGCAAGAGCAAAAATAACAGTGCCTGTCCGAACAGCCACCAGAAAGAAAGGACACATTCCAGCCACCGGGACAGGGCGGCTTGCTCAGTAATCCCTCCCCAAGGCCTGTTTGGCAGCGCGGGCAGGACAAAGAACAGAAATGTCCATCTTTGCGGGCAGACCCCCTGACGTGTTTCCAAAGAATAACCAGAAAGAACAGCTCCTGCAGACAAGACAAAACCAAATAAAAAAATTAAAAACACACACACACACAACTGCATCTTTCAACAGAAAGATCCCTGAAATACCTTTACACCTAGAAGAGCACTAAGCATAGCAGTCACCTTAGGCTAAAACAGACAAAGGAACAGCGGTGGGGCCTGTCTCTCCCGGATGCACACACAGGAAACAAAAGACATGAAACAGGTTCAGCAGGAACAGATGTCAGTGAGGAGGCAGGTCTGAGTCACTCTGGACAGGTACCCACAGCTGCCTGAGGCTACTTACCTCAAAGTGCAAAATGTCACCTGACCTCTTACCTAGTCTTTCTTTCGTGTTTTAATTGAAAAATGACAGTTTCTTGAATGTAAAGTGTAATAGAAAAAAAAAACACCTTAAAATTAAGAAACGTACTTAACCGTCACTGGGATGTTATGCTAAAATGTGTGTTCGTGTGTGTATCCATGTATATTTGGTTTGTTTGTTTTCTTCACAAATGAAAGCATGCTTTATGTACACGTGGGTACTGTTCTGAACCTGGTCTCTTTTGGCCAAAAATATGTTCTGGAGATATTTCTTTGTTCGCATGTAAACATCTGCCTCGCTTTAAGGGACTAGATAATAATATAGAGATGGAATGTCTCACCATTTATTCAGCTAATCATAAAAACAAAGTGTTTTGATTCCTTATAATTAAAAGTAATGCAGGGACCTCTTTCTAAAGTTATATCTGTATATGTCTATCTCTTTACATATCTATAGGAAAAATTTGCAAATATGAAATTGCTGACCAAAGTCTATGTTCCTAATTTTGACAGACTTCATCACATTGTCCTGTAAGGACATCAATGAATCCCATGAAAGGAGTGTAACATACCAATGAAACTTAACGAGCATGTCTGTGTACACGTACTCTCATCCACACTGTATTGGAGCTTTGGTAAATCTGATAGGCAAAATGGCATTTCATTTTTAATTTTAATTTTCAAAATTATAAACATTAACATCTATTCATATTATAAATTCCATTTGCATTTCTTTAAATATGCATATGGATTGTTTATCTTTTATTAATTTGTCACAGCCCATTATAATCTGTATTTCATCAAATCAATACCACCGTAACTAGCTAGTTAATATTGATACCAGGAAAGGAGCAGAGGGGAGGCCAGACATTGTAAGCCTGGCCATCTGGGCAGCTGCAGTGTCACTCCCCAGGGGAACGCTGGCCTGTTCCCTGCAAATCCCTGAGGGAAGGGGTCCAACAAGGGGAAGACGGCGCAGGCGCAGTGAAGTCAGGGTGAGGTAGGGAAGGTGCTCACCTGTCAGTCTAACCGGGAACAAAGATAACTGTCTCAGGGGTAGAGCCACTGCAAGCACGCAAAGTCTCGGCAGGGTAAAATCCCCAAAGAAATTCTCTCTCTCTTTCCTCTTGCTCATTCCTGCTTCCTTGCACTCACCCATGCTCCCTTCAAAGCCATGTGGCCACGGTTGTGCGAGCCCTACATGCAGTGGAACGCAGCTGGGGGCCCGGGATAACTAGCCAGAGGTTGGACTAGACTGTGCAAGCAGGAAGCAGAAGCTCTGGTCACAACCCTGCTGAAGATAAAAAGGGATTTTTTTCCATGGCAGGATGGAAAGAGATGGGAGCTCAGGGTTTAATTCCACAGAAATAAAGCTTTCCACAATACCTCATCTCCCCCTCCCTGGGGGCCCCAACAAATTCTTATTCCCACAGCACCCCAAAATTCCACTTCAACTAGTAACAGGTGGGGACACAAAGAGTACCACACCCATAACAAAATCAAAGACATCCTTGATTATAAAAAGAAAAAAATCTCTGCCCGTGAAATTAACAGAGAATGCTTTCTTATCACCTATAATTTGTAATTTGGACATATTAAAATAATCCTTTCACATTTAAGTGAGCTGACAGTCCGGCCATGTTTCATTGTTACACAAAGAGGCCGGAACTAGAGCAAATGTCTCCAATTCAGTGTCTGACGCCCCAGAATCACTTTGCAACACTGAGTCCTCCACGTTCATGTGCCCACGGTTTCCCCAGTAAGCGTGTCTTCTGTGCCACCAAGAGCAGTGGCATTGAAGCGTTTCTTAATAACAGTTCCTCAAGGAACTGAAAGACGTGGGGGCTGCGCTCTTGGGCTGACACTGCAATTAAAGAAGCTCGCCAGCTCTTGACTCCAGCTGCAGGAATGCTGCCCAGCGAGTGATATCCCACCGCCCCTTCTCATGGCCATGTTTCCCACCATAATGCAATGTTGATTTTAAGACGCTCCCCCACATCCCCATTCTAGAAACTTTGAAATATGGGGAAGATGTGAATTGTAATTAGCAAAATGCTCCTTAAGGAAAACTAGTGTTTGCATTGGGGTTGTATGTTTCTCAGTTTGGCAGTTTTATTTTGACTAATATTTTTATCATGGAGAATATTTACATTTTCATGTGGTCAGATGTATCTTTTTTTTTTTTTTTTCTGTATGGAGTATGAACGTTATGTTTTGAGCATCTTCCCACCACCAGCAGCAATAGCATTATAGAAAAAAAAATGCCCATATTTCGAAGGAACGGTTTTGTTACTTTTTTTTTAACTTTTAAATTTGTGATCTAACAGGAGATGGGAAATGTGTTTGTTGTGTGTTCAGTAAAATATCTGAGGTAGAATTCCAGTTTTCTTTTTTCTCAAATAACTACCCAGGTTTCCCCACCATCATCATATACTACTAGAGTGTCACATCTGTGTTGGTTTATTTTATAATTTAATTTCTCTTCTAGACATTGATCTATCGACATTCTCCTAAAGTACAACAAAATTGTCTTCTATAGTGAAACATTATGAAATGTTATAAATCTTGCAAGGCTAGCGGGATTTCATTACTCCTTTTCTTTGCGTTTTCTGCAGTTTTATTGGAATGCTTATTTCTCTTGAGCTTTCTAATCAGTTTAAGCTACAAACAAATCATTTTCCTCTTTTTATTGTCATAATATTGAACTTCCATAAGTTAGAGTTGCAATCTCCAGAATACCCATTGACTGTCTAGGAACAGTGCCCTCACTCCATTTATCCAAATTGCATCCTGTAACTGAGTGAAAGAAAGCTCCTTCTGCTCGCTACATGACAGCCAATAAGTCTAGACAAAAAAATTGAGGCAGGAAAAGCAACTTTATTTGGAAACCCAGCAAGCTGAGTAGATAGTAGACTAGCATCCTAAAGAATCATCACGAGAAAGTACAAAATTTAGGCTTCTCTTATGTCAGGGGAAGGGGGAAAAGGGAGGGTTTGAGGTCAGGAGGTGATCGATGAACACAGACATCTGGAGGTCTGCAAGGGCCCAAGGCGGACAGTGAAACTTCTTCCTTTTGGTTAACAAACTCCGGCTGCTGCGGTGCAGTCCTAGAGACTCCTTTTGAACAACAATCATTATTTTTGTACGTACTTCCTTTCCTCTTTGGGGACATAGTCTCAGGCATGGAGATTGTCTCAGTAATATCTGGGGGCTACAGGTTACAGTCCTTTCATGATTAGCATATCTTCATGTAGGACTCAGCAGAAGTTGCTAACTGACATGTCAGGCTTGAGCAAGACGGGGTCGCAACGTCTGATTATTTATTCTATTACAATTTCCCACTGTCAATTGGTCCATTCCATCATCGTGTGGAATTGGGGATAATGGGACGTCATCTCTCATCTGGCTACTTCCTGTGATTGGGGTCGGCGAGGTGAGGTTGTGGAAGGGAGCAATTTGACCTAATCTATGAAATGTTCTTTAGGGCTCCCCTTAAACATGAGGGTTTAAAGATTTACCAAGGGCATTTCCCTATTTGTCTTAAGCGTCTTAACCTTCTTCGCACAGTTCTTAATTACACAGTACATAATGATTACGAATAACGCAACGACAACGAGAAGAATGAGGCATAATTTGAGAATACTACCTAGGACCGACTGTAACCCCTTCAGTTTCCTTGAGAAAAGGTCCGTGAACCAGTTTCGTATCCCATCCAACTTCGTTCCGCTCTTATGGTCACCAGTTTGTTGGAGCCGAGTAGCCCGTTGTCCCATTTTAGCAATAAGAGTCTCTACCTCAGAAGAGGAATTGATAGAGGCACAGCAAGTAGTGTTAGCAACGAGACAGACTCCCCCTTGTTCAGGCAGCGTGTCCTCTAACGCAATACGATCGTCAGGTACAACTTTAGCCAGGGAGCCCAAGGACGTGTGCAGGCCGGTGAGGGCGGTAGCCATTTCGTGTGCAATGATACCTAAGGCTTCGGACACGTTCCTGGGGACCTGCCGGTGAGCTGCCACGTCCCCCCAAGGGAGGAAGGGGTAGCCAACGAGGTAACCATCTCCAGCAGGGAGATCCCGAGCGATCCTGGCGAGGAGAGTACGGGAACTGGTCCACTGGACCGTTTCTGAAACATTCTGGACAGAGAACGGGGTCACCAGGTAGCCCAATAGGCAGGTCCCACCGATATGCCAACTGTCCAGACATTTATAGGCCCAAGCCTCGTTTTGGGATCCACACACAAACACGTACCCCACGGGGGCACATAAGATGCCGGTCATATTCTGAAAATTCAGGCGATCCCCTCGGGGAAGGTGGCTCAAGATGTTCTCCAACCAGGGGTCCGTGCGAGGCAGGGTCCGCGATGCCGTCACGTGGCAGCTCCGTAAGGGGGTGGGGGAACCCCTCAGGTAGGTTGCACTTTGACCCCTCCAGGCCCTGCATAGCTCAGTAGAGGCATAGGCAGAGGACAGGTTTACACATCGTTGTCGGATCAAAGGGAGAGACACCGGGTCAGTGAAATACGTCTTATTGAGCCCACAAGCAGCAGCCGTCCTCCCGTGGGGCACGGTCAGATTACCGAGCCCCGAGGAGTCAGGCTTTTTACAGTATTTCCCTGAAACCACGGCCGGGGAGCTCTCCGGTGGGGTGAGGAAGAAACAGGGAACAGGAGATTCATCATTCACCAGCCTCACCCGGTAAACAGCATCAGGGAATTGCATGCCGTAGGTGACTTGGAAACTCGGTATCTGAGAGAAATTCAAAACGGGCATGACCAGAGGGTGGGCAGAATCGAGCCCCGAGGAGGGTTTGGCGTGACAGATCCAGTAATGGGAGAAGTTAGCGGAGGAGGCTATGGACTGAGAGATTCTAACCAAGGGGTCATCCTCCCACCCATGGGTGCAGCCCCAGCAGAGGGGCAGGACCCACAGTGCGGCCCAGAGCTTCATGCTCCCTATCGCTTTCGGTCTCCCCGGGGTTCTGCAGTCCTAGAGGAGGGACCCCCTTTACTCCTGTGGGATGTGTCTACGGCTTCCCTCCAGCGGAGGGGCAGATGGGGGCGTGTTCAGCAGAACCTGAGGCTCCTGTCCACTCGGCAGCCCGTCGCTGCTCAGCTCCCTCTTCTCTCCGGGCCGGAAGCAGGACTCGATCTCTCCAGCAGCGAAAGAGGTGCGGGGTCACATCAACAAGAGACGCAGACCTGCCGGAGGCAAACCCATGGCCAGGAGTTCCAACAGCGCGTAAGGTCTTCACACAGCGATCACTAGATCTCACAAAGCACCAGCCCTTTCACCTGCGGGGCGGGGACCGGGGCTGGCCTACCTGACAGAATGCCAAAGGGGCTACAGAAACCGTCTCCAGAGCCATCCTACACTAACAGGGGCAGCAGCCAAACCTTCCCCGCGCCATCTGAGTTTCCTGGCATATTTGGCCATCTCCTTTCCAGAACGGGATTCATTTTCTCCGGGGTTTTTTTTCCTGTGGACTGTGGTCTCCAGGAAGGAGGTGATTTCCAGTTGCTATGCAACATGCACCTGCTGAGGGATACTGGTAATGAATGGGGGCCCCTTGTCACTTCGTAGGGTGTTGGCGATCCCAATGGAGGGATGACCTCCTTCAGAAGGGCTTTAACTCCTCCAGAGGCCCCTTCTGTTCAGGCAGGGGAGGCTTCTGCCCATCCTGGAAAGGTGTGTGCAAACACTAGCAAGGCCCTAAGCTTTTCAGAGGCGCGAGGCATTTGAGTAAAGTCTATCTGCCAGTCCTCAGGGGGTGCAGCCCCTGTATGTTGAATTCCCATCTGCGGAGGCTCAGCAGCAGTGTTGAGCACAGATCTCACAACACTGTACAGTTTGTTGAACAGTCTTTTGCAAATCAGGCCCCATTATGTATTTTTGGATCTATTGTAAGGCGGCATCACCTCAGGGGTGCTGTCCCATTTGTGCCAGAGCACAGCACTCGGGAGTGTGTCTGGCATTCAGAGGAGCCCTTGCCTGTCCAGCTTGATCAAAGTGAAGCCCCATCCGTGGCTCTTTCTCTGTCTGTAAGTAGGCCAGCTGTGCTGAGGCAGGTCAGTTTGAGGGAGGGGAGGTCCTACCACGCCTAGAGAATTGCCTTCTCTTGCTGCCTTCTCTGTGGCCTGGTTGGCCAACTGATTTCCTTTGATTTCCTGGGTTTCACCCTGCTGATGGCCAGGGCACTGCATGATGGCCATGTGTGCGGGTTTGTGGCCTGTATCCAACAGCAGAATCTCAGAAGCGTATTTAATATCTATATTATTGGCAGTGAGTTGCCCTCTTTCTTTCTAAATGGCAAGTACTACTAAAAAGACATCCTGGGAATATATATATATACACACACATACATATATATATACACATATATACACACATATATACATTTATATACATATATATACACATATACACATATATACACCTGTTTTCTTTCAGCCAGAAGCAGGGCTCTTGTGAGAGCAATGGTTTCTGCCTTCTGTGCTGACCTCTCTGGGGGTAAGGTTTTCTGCCTATAAAGTTCTTTGTAAAGTCACCACCGCATACCCATTGCAGAGCTTACCTTGGTCCATGAAGCTACACCCATCGTTCAGCTAACTGGTCAGTCAAGTCCGGCCAGCTAGAATATCCTTGCTCAATGACATGTACCAGAGTTTACAGAGTCTCATTCTGGAGCAAGTAGTTGCGTGTAAAGCTGATGTTAATTGTAGCCTCACAGCAGGATGGCCTAAAAGGATGGCTTTATGCTTTCCCATTCCTCCTGACGTATGCCAACAGTCTCCCTTCTCTCCCAATAAGGAGCGGACGTGGTGACGGCTGTCCATGGCGGAAGGCTGCCCCAGGGGGAATTTCAATGCAAGTAGCTGCAGCGGCCGAAGGCAAGGGGGCCATCACTGACTGTGTGGTCTAGTTGCCACAGAAGTAAGCTACCAGTCGGGGAATGTTGCCCAAGTGTGGTTCAACGTGCCAAGACTTATGCTTTGTCTCTCGTAGACATACAGGTTGATCAGCAAGGCTGATAACCCTAAAGCTGGGGCTAAAATTAACTTGTCCTAAATTGTGTCAAAAGCTGCTTGGCATTCTTCAGTCCAAGTAAGAGATTCCAGATCCTGTCTTTTTAAAGCCTCATTCAGGGATTTTACTCTGAGTCTGTAATTTGGAACCCAAATTTGATAGAATCCTGCCATTTTCCCAAATCCCCTCGATGGGGTCTGCAATTGACCATTTCTGTCCGGAAGTAGATCTCTTTGACCTTGGGATAGGGAGACACCCAGGTAAGTAACTTGGAATTTATTTATATGGGCCCTTCTCTGAGAGACGTTCAGCCAAATATTCAATCCTAATCGAACGCTGCAGCGTTTGTTAGAAGTGGAGCTTGCTGTCAATGTCATCCGCACATTGAAGTAAAAGGTCCTTTATCCAACATGAGGTCGCCAAAATCTTTAGCCAGTATTTCCCAAAATAGGGTGGGAAATTTGGTTTGTTTTTTTGTTTTGTTTTGTTTTGGTTTTTTATCCCAAGAGTATATCTTTTATTTTTTAAATTACAGTTTATATTCAGTATTATTTTGCATTAGTGTCAGGCACACAGCACAGGGGTCAGACAATCATACACTTCGCTGGGTGCTCCCCCTATATTTCCAGTACCCACCTGGCACCATACATAGTTATTACAAAATTATTCACCACATTCCCTATTCTGTAGTTTACATCCCCATGAATATTTTATAACTACCAATCTTTACTTCTTTATTTTTTTTTTCCTCCCTGGGGAGAGCACGAACACAGTCCCCCACTACCACAAACCATGCAGTCGAGTTTCCCACATTTGGGGAAATCGCAGGGATCAGCCCATCGGGAGTGCAGTGGATAAGCCTCGCCTGGAAAAACCACCTTCGTGATCCCGGTATCCCCCCCTGCCAAGTAAGTATCCAATCTGTACTTCTTAATCCCTTCACCTTTTTCACCCAGTGACCAACCCCCTCCCCATTGGCGACCATCCATCTGTCCTCTGTATGTATGAAGAGACGGACAAATACTTTTTTAAAAAAATATATATTTTATTGATTTTACACAGAGAGGAATTGAGAGGGACAGAGAGTTAGAAACGTCGATGAGAGAGAAACATCGACCAGCTGCCTCTTGCACACCCCCTACTGGGGATGTGCCCGCAACCAAGGTACATGCCCTTGCCCAGAATCAAACCCGGGACCTTTCAGTCCGCAGGCCGACGCTCTATCCACTGAGCCAAACCAGTCCCGGCCGGACGAATACTTTATTTGGCACTTCCTACTATGTAACAATTCTATGGCCCACTTATGCCCCCAGAGTTTTGTGTTCCAAGTAAGGGTCTCCTGGCTAAATACGTCATGTCTTGAAGGACAGTGTCCAAGATACATAAAAATGTACACAGTCCTCAGTATGTTTCTTCTTTTGGTCAAAATTTCACACTGCTTGGCTTCTACTGTTTGCAATTAGTAGACTGGGTTTAGCCATGTACTTGTATCATTGAAGATGAAGTTCTGTTTATTTATTTGCTTAATTTGTGTCATTTTAATTGGTGTTAGAAATGGAGTACATTGGAAATACCTTAACATTGCCATTGGTAGCTGGAAGTATTACACTTTATGTTTACTAAAACAGTTTAAATATGATTTTCTCCTGATGAAGCTTATGAGTTTTAGAACATTCAGCATAGAGAAAAGAAATATTAATATCAACTTTTTAACCTTCTCTACCAGAAAACATTTAAGAGGCTTTTAAATTTTTTAATTTTTATCTGTTATTATGATGTTCCGAACTTTTTGTCATTATAGTAGACTGAACAAAACTCCATACAAAGGCACACAGAGATTACAGATAATATATCACCAAAATGAAATGCAATGCCATGCCAAGCTTGAAACTGAGAAATTGCCTAGGTGCCAGAAATAAAGAGGGAATTCAAAGTCAGAAAGATAATTGTAGTGAACATAAAATTGTTCATAAGAACTCACAGGAAATTGGGCCTCAGGCCAGTCTGGGAAAGGTGGTTGGAATTGATCCACCTTTATAAGTGTTACCTTATCTGTGGTAAGGGACTGGAATCTCAGCCAGAAATACTGAACGTTTTGTAAAAATTATGACAGGAGGTTAAATGGAACTTCTATTGAGTCGGAGTTGACAACTTGGGTCCACAGATGAAAACACAGGCACTAAACATCCCTTATTCTAAAAATAAAATGTCAATGTCTGGGGCCTCCTGAAAGTTTCCAGAACTGTCCCTACTATAACTAATTGCCATCCAACACCAAATATAAATAAAACAAAAGCAGAGCAACTCTTGGGAGTTGAATTGAAGTCTACAGCAATGCAGGGAGTAGACTATCCCCAGGAGAATGTAAGCTTACTAATATCTTCATTTTTCATAGTGAAGAGTAAATATATATATGATCAAGTGGATAAAATAATAGAAACTTTTAGAAGACAAAGAAGGTATCAAAAACCAATCAGTTATTTTAAAATAACCAAAGTAAAGATTGAGTGTCTAATGAATAATAAATGCAAATGCGTGTCTAATGATTAATGCAAAGGCAAATATATATTAAAAACTCTTGAGCTCATGATAACCTCCAAACTAAATGTTAATTCAGCATTGTTTGAAATAACATGAACTTAATCAATATGGAACAAATAATAAAATTAGAACATCTCCATTTTGTGATCCTTAAAACCTAATTTATATAGATAATGATCGTCAACAGATGAAACAAAAAGAGACTGATGGGAAATTTGCAATAGAGAGTTCAAGCTGTCACTTGATTACCTGAAGCATCACTAAATGTGGGGCAATTTAATGTACAACAAATTAATGGTAGGAGAAAATGGGAGGAAATAGCGAGGGAGATTATTCTAGAACAAAATCTCTTAAGGAAAAAAAAAAACCAAATGCCATGAGTG